AACCGCCCGCGCCGTTCGTCTCCTCCCTTTCACTTGGCCGTTCCCGTTTACTTGCTGACGACAATAGGTACCTTTTACTTGGGACATTGCGTTGCACCAAGCAGTTCAGCCAGGTTTTATTCTTATTCTTGTCGGTTTTAGTATTGCGTTAGTGTTATTAAGGGATAACCAACGTTAACGTTTAAATTGATAATTTAGGTAACTTAGAGGGAAGCGGTTTGTAGATAAAAGCGTGCCATCGATATCTTCATCTTATGAAGACAGTAGAAAACCGAATAAGGTGTATGTTGGTAAAACCAGATAACTACATGACCCAAAATGCTCTTAGCCTTGGCATAATGGCGGTAGTATATGTATATTTTCGCGTTCGTATATGTTTCTCTTCACTTTCGCCAAGTGAGGCGGGAGGAATGCAAACATCGCGATAAAGGCAATAGCAATAACTATTACTGCTGCTGTTGTTATTAGTGAGACCATCGGCACCAATAGTAAGATTCATTTAAGTCTTTTTGCAATTTACCTCCATGAGACGAAATCGAGAAAAAAGTTGGTTATATTGCGACTTTATATTTTGTACGTATTTCTCTTCAGCACCATTAACTTAAATCACTTTTCGTGTGCTATTTTCACGGTAAAATGCTACGGGTGATATTGATAATAGATATAGTACATACATAAATACATACATACATACTTACATGCATATAATTATACATATATATATATATATATATATATATATATATATATATATATATATATATATGTATATATAAATATTTATACACATACATTATCTGCGTGTGTTTATGCATGAATGTATTTATACATATATGAATGTGTTTATACATATATATATGTGTGTGTGTGTGTTTGTGCGTGCATGTATACACATATGTACACATTTTCATAAGCATTTAGATACGAGCGTTTGGTCATGCCTCTGGGCATTTACAGGGGAATATTTTACCTCTGCAAAACCCCATGGCAAAACAAGTACAGCCCAAGCGTGTTGTGGTAGGACGTGAGTCGTAGTTTATTGTCAAGACAATGGTAGGATATGACGCTCGACTTACATTGTAGTTCATCATTGGTGGTGACGCGTTGGTATGGTGAGCAAGTGTGGTGAAGGCGGAGAATCCAAGGTCGACCAAGAGCTTGGTCCGACCTGCGATGCTGTTTCGACTCGCATTACAGGTCTAGGGTTGGACTCAGAGATCGCAGACGGGAGCATGAGGAACGCACGAGAGACAGTTAAGTTGAATGAAAGGCAGAGAGCGGGGATAGCAAATTATCAAAGGACACCGAGAAAAGGGAATCAGGTCAGAATTGTTTCTGGTGACGTGCAAGAAACCTTGTGCAACCGGGCGAGTCGGTTTCAGGCTGCAGGAAGTCTTATAATCATTAATTTGGTCTTTTTTTTTTTTTTTTTTTTTTTTTTTTACATTTATACAAATGAGGTATTTGGACGATTATGTTAACAATAACTGTGAAAAAAATAAAGTGCAATAAAACCCAATATGACCGCGATGAAGATAACATTGAGAATAGTAATTAGGAGTAAGGATATTTATAATGATAATGGCAATTTGTAATGTTTATCCTATAACTATAACAGTAACAACCTTAAATATTTTTGAAACGAGAGTATCGAAATGCTTATAACCACTACATGAACATTTTTAATTAATGGGAAAGAGCTTGAAACAGCACCAAGCTTCAACCAGCTCTCTTCTCCACGAAGGGTACGAAGAGAAACGAGTTAAACGCAAACAAGAAAGAACTGTTTGTGGAGGAATAATTTTAAAACAGGTTTGTAGAGGAAGGTGAAATCTGGCGAAATCGCTTGCATTTTGCAGCCGAAGGAAGAAGAAACCCGTGCGTGATTAATTCATCAAGGCTTATCCATGCCCCATTCAATAAGCTTCAAAGGGCAAAGGCTTCTTGTACGGGCGCTTGGCTGATCAAACCGGTGGAATCGAACCTATATCCGGAGGCAGAAACGCCAATCGGGTGTGAATACGTGTCAGGAAGTATGTCACAAAATCATTACAGTTTTGTTCCAGGTTATGTGGCTGTGGCGCCTCTGACCTGGTATTAAGGAAGAATCTATTTGCTGTACGATATAGAGGCCTATACCTTGGTATGAAGAAATCTGAAATGGTAGCTGTGGTGACTGTAGAGATTTTACATTTAATGTTCAATCGGTTTTTGTGTAACGCAAAAGAAAACAGTTTAGCTTTGCTCACCAACTTGTTCGCATCAGTCACTAGCTTGGGCAACACGCGCGTCCTGCGAACCCCTTAACCTCAAAAGGGCAGCTGCGCATGCTAGTTATTAGGCCATAGTGATGACGCTATTAAGAGTAATTCGCTCGTGTGAATTTGCGGAAGTTCGATGTAACGCTTGGCGCTGGGTGCAGGTGATACTGACGTGCACGTAGGGTGCGGTGATAAGGTTAAAAGCGTGATGTATGTAATTCTAAGCTAATTCAGTCGATGGCACTGCTAACATATGCTGAGTTACACAGATATTTCGTAACAGATAAAGAGTGCTCCTGTGCAACAATGGCAAGATACAGACTGTTTATTGCAGTGTTAGGTTTTGCTTCATCATTTCTTTCGAAGCACTTATATGATTTTTTTTCTTTATGAGATACAAAAGCATTTAGTTTTGTCTGTTTTTATCTGATAAGAGTTTTTTTTTTTCATTTTACAG